TAGATACATTTGAATATACTTTCACATATTTATTTTTAATAATTAGATTTATAATCTTTCCATATCCTTTGGTCCCAAATATTCCTTGAGTACTATTTCGATTAGAAAAATATTTCTGGGTGGTAAAAATAGGTCATATGAAATTTTAAAACCTGAATTTAAAAATACATTTACTTCTTGCTCAACAGTGTAAGGTGAATGGAAAGCAAACCTTTTCTCAAGGTCTTAATGAAGAGCAGCAACATCAGTCTCCAGTGCAAAAAGGTAAAATTTCACATAATTCCCAAACTTCATCACAGAATATCTTAATATCCATATAAAGTTAATATTACTTTGTTTCTTAGCTATATATCTATGTATGAAAGAAGTTCTATTATGTTTTTAGGTTGACTTCTGTCCATATTAGGCTACAGTTTGACAGCTCTGAAAGATAGAATAACATTGGCTTAAACAAAGTGGAAATTAATTTTATATTTTTATACATCATGTAAAATTCTGAGCTGGTATACTGGTTCTGTTCTGTGAGGCAGGAAAATCAATGATAATATACCATATTAACAGAATGGGGATCAAAAAGCACATGATTATTTCAGTTCATGCAGAAAAAAAAGCCTTTGACAAAATGCAACACCTTTTTCTGATAAAACATACTAGCAAGTGAGAAACAGGTTTATAAGCAAGTAATAGAGGGTAACTTCTTTGTCATGATAAAGATTGTGTATGAACCACTAATATCATGCTTGATGGTGAAAAACTGAATGCTTTCTTCTTAACATCAAGAACAAGATAAAGTTATCTATTTATTTAGAGCTAATAAATTATTTCAACAGAGTTGCAAGATAGAATATCATTGTTGTTCATGATTTTAGAATTTGAGTTGTTTCTTTTTTTTTCCAGGCAAGGTAAAGGCTGGATAATTTTTATCTTTTTAAATAACAAACTTTTGGTTTTATTATTTTTATATTATCTAGTTTATCTCCACTTTCACCTTTATTATTTCCTCCATTCTTCTAGCTTTTGATGTAGTTTGCTTTTTCCCCAATTCTTTATTGTGTAATGTTAGATACTAGATTTGACATAACCTCAAGCTTCCTCCCTTCCTTGCAGTTCTGGAGATTGAACCTAGGACTTTCTCACTGGGCTACATACCCAACCTTTTTAAATTTTTGAGACAAGGTACTGCTAATCCCTAAATCACCCAGGATTTACACAATCTTGTGATCCTCCTGCCTCAGCTTCCCAGAGTACTGGGATTATAGACCAATTCCTCCTTTTTAAATGTTAGCTTGTATAGCTGTGAGCTGCTCCGGGTATACCGTGTCCCATAAGTTTTAGTATATTGTGACTTTGTTTTCATTTGTCTCAAATGTTTTATGAGTCCCCTGTTATTTATTCTTTGATCTATTGGTTATTTAACAGTGTGGATTAATTTCTGCATATTTGTGAACTTTTCAGTTTTCTGTTATTGATCCCTAGTTTCACTCCATTGTAGTCAGAGGATACTTTATATAAGTTTAATCTTTTTTAAATTTATTGAGTCTATTTTACAGCCAAACATGTAGTCCCAAAGTGGTGTGTCCCTCTCAAAACTCATGTATACTGCTATTTGAAGTAATAGGGTCTTTTAAAAAGGTAAATAGATCTTTAAAAATGGATTAAGGCTGTCTCTTTAGAGTTCTAATTCATGGGTACTAGATTAGTAGTAGAGAAGGAAGTTGTTAAAGTGAGCCTGGAACCCCTGAATCCTTCTAATGCTAATTTCCTGCTATGTGATGCCACCTGCTGTGTTATAATGCAGCCAGGGGGCCTTTGCCAGCCACTGGAATTATTGAGCCAAATAATCCTCTTTTCTTTTTATATTCCCCAGTATCAAGTATTCAGTTATAACAACACAAATGGACTATGACTCTTCCAATAAGAATGTGTTTCCTTTGAAGAAGCCAGTATTAGCTGTAATCCATAAATTTGAAATACTGAATTTGACTGTCATTTGGTTTGAAATATTTTTAAATTTCCTGATTATTTTATCTTATAGAATTTTTGAAATGTGTTAATTTCCAAGATACTTGTTTTTTCTGAATTATTATCATGGATTTCCAATTTAATTTTGTTAGAGAATACAATCTGTATTATTTTAACCCTTTTATTTTATTTTTTGGTACCAGGGATTGAACTCAGGACCTTGCGCTTGCGAGGCAGGTGGCAGAATACTGAGCTATTTTAACCCTTTTAAACTTATTGAGTCTTGTTTTATGGTCTAGTCTGTTGACTGTACTTTATGTGCACTACTTGAAAAGAACATATATTTTGCAGTTGTCGATGTAGTTTCTATAAATGTTAGTTAAATCAAAGTGGTTGATAATATTTTTCAAATTTATCTTTTTATCATTTTTTGTGTCTAGTTCTATCAGTTGCTAAAGAAGAGGTTTTTACATTACATGCTGTTATTATGGAAATGTCTATTTCCCCTTTTATTTTTGTTAAATTTCACTTTACGTATTTCAAAACTTGGTTATTGGGCACAAAACATTGATAATTTTCTCTCTATATGAAACTAAGATAGCCACTGCATCTTATTATTCCTAGACTTTGCACAGTGCATCTTTTTACATACATTAACTTTCAACTTCAATATGTCTTTATACTTAATGTATACTGCTAGTGAATAGCATACAGTAAGGTTTTTTTTTTTAATTCACTCTGTAACTTTGAAACTTTAATATAATGTTTAATATAAGGACCAGAAAACTACAACTTGCAGGCCAAATGCCTGTTTTTGTAAATAAAATTTTGTTGAAATAGAGCCACACTTTTCATTTATATGTGATTTTTTTTTGAGTTTTGTTTCATCTGTATATATCTTTATGTGCATTCCAGTAGGATGCCCCACCCCCACACACTGGATATGGGATTTTGAGTTGCCAGTTAATATTTTTTATTTTTTGGGGGGGAGTGCTGGGGATAAAATCCAAGGCTTTATGCATGTTAGGCAAGCACTCTTACCACTGAGCTATACCCTCACAGTGCCTGTTCTTTTCATACTTTAAAAATATTATTCCACTATATTCTGGCTCAGCATATGGTCTGTAACAGTTCCTGGCTATCTTTTTTTTGCAGTACTGGGGCTCGAACTCAGGACCTTACGCTCCAGAGGCAGGAGTGGTGCCACTGAGCTAAATCCCTGACCCTCTGGCTATCATTTCTGATGAAAAGTCAGCAACTACTCTATCTGAATCATTGTTCCACTTGAATATAGGAGTTCTGTCTTGGATCTTGTTTGCATTTACCTAGCATAGTCTTCAACACACTATGATGGTTCTTGAATTAAAATTGTTTTGTTTTCCAAAGCTTCTTCCTTCCTTTTTTATTGTATACTCTGCTCACCATTTTATAAATAATGAGTATTTCAAGGACATGCAGTAAAACATGAGCCAAAATGTGATATAGGAAGTACTGAGGATTGAGTTCAGGGCCTTTGCACTGAGCTATATCCCCAGCCCTTTTTTATTTTTAAATTTGAGACAGGGTCTCATTAAGTTGCTCAGTTGCCCAGGCTGGACTCAACCTTGCAGTCCTTCTGCCTCAGCCTTCTAGAGTGCCAGCATTACAGGAATGCACCACCACGCCTGGCTGAATTTTGTTTTGTTTTGTTTCTTTTGGTACCGGGGATCAAACTCAGGACCTTGTGCTTGTGAAGCAGGAGGCAGAACCATTGAGCTAAATCCCCGGACCTGAATTTTGTTTTATAACATTATATGTAATGTTTAATATCACAGAGAGAATTAAATATAGCAGAGATTTCCTACAGAAGCTCTCAAGTGTTTCCATCTGCAGAAAAAAACCAGACTTTCTGCCTGATCATCCCGTTGTACTTCAAACACCAGTAAGTAGTTTTCTGATTTCATATTGTAATATTGTATTCCATGTATTTGTCTTTAATATTTTTTATCCTACCTGTATATTCTTCATTTTTCTCATTGCAAAATATTAGTAATCCAGAAAAACACAAAAATCCAAATTTGCAATATAACCAGTTATTATAAAATAATTATTACTCTACTCAAGAAATATAATGAAATAGTTATATTTTAGTTATGAAATATTTTTCTGTTGAAAGGTCATGAAAATATCATCCAATATTCTAGGAGTTCTGTTTTGTTTTTCAATTAAGTTCTATAGTCCACTTGGAATGTATTTTATGTGAGGTGAGGATCAAGTTTTATTTTTTCTATGTGGATATCCAGTTATTCTAGGAATATTTGTTGGAAAAACGGTCCTCTGTAGAAATATATAGTCTATTAATGGCTTCTCTATTCTCTTCAATTAAAATAGTTTTAAAACAGCTAAGCAAGTCATCCTTGTTATTTTTCTTTTGTCTTTTGTATTGAGCTCTTTATATTTCTGTGTCACCCCATCAAATTCCATCCAAGTAAATATACACTATAAATATATATCTTTTGGGATATTTGTTGGAAAGGACATGGGTTTCGACTTCAGCCTTGGGTTCTAATTGTAGCTCCACTCTGTGTACTGGTAGTTCAGACTTGGGTAGGTCACTTAACCTTTTTGAGTCAAGGTTTTGCAATTGCAGATAAGAATGATAACCTCTGGTGCTCAGGATTAAATACAGTAACATATGAGAGTGCTTAGGGTGATACTGATCTTTGCTCTCAGTAAATGATTTATATCCTTTATGGTCTATTTTAACACTTGGCTGGAATTTTACTTTAGGAGTTTTAACAAACATTATTCTGTATAGGCAAAAGCAACCAGGATTGTGTTGAGTTGAGATGAGACTCAGAATATAGGTATCCTAAGAATGGTTCAAATATGAGATTTGGGGATATTAACACTTGGAAATCCATAGCATTTATTTCCTTAGTTACAATTTTTTAAAGCTATATTCTTATAAACTCTATATTCTTATAATTTGTATTAAAATTTCATAATGTTATAACTTATTAGTATTTTATAATTTAACCCCCTTAGACACCCTTAGCCAGTTGTTTAAAAAAATTAAATCAAGAATTAAATTTTTTTCATAATACTTCTCATAAAGTAATATTTAATGAGGAAAAATGTACTTGATGATACTTGAATTTTCTTACCTGTCCAGAGATCTTAGGGATATATAATCCTTGGTCTGTGAGAATAAATATAAACTTTAGTGCTATATAAAATGTCACTTTTTCATGTTCACATTTTCCAATTTCTGACACTTTATTTTGTAAATAAAAGTTCAACATGCACTTTATTTAGAACAAATATATACATTAGAATTAACTTTAGTTTTGCTTTATGTATTAATAACATACATAAAACTAGGTACCACAAAAACAGAACAACAGGTTTGAAATACACTTTAATATATTTAAAAATGAATTACATAGGTTTAGTGACACAGAACTTTTTTGACAATTCCACTTTAATAGTTTCTACAGTAACATGCATTTAGATGTATAAACATTAAGCAGATCCACAGTGTTTTGAGAACTACTTTATAAAAACTGAATTCAATTAATTTGATAAATCAACTCTTTCTTTTTTTTTTTTACAGGAAAACAACCAAAGTTTTAAGTAGCATTTTAAGAACAGATGAGTTTGAAGATAATGACTTATTCATTTTATATTTGGACACCAGCAAATGAAGTGGACTTAGTAACAGTAACTGTAATTGACTGTGAAAATTTAATTTATTTTAAATTTTGATGGTTGGCTATTTGGCTTCTCCTAAGATGAGAAAGATATTTTAAACTATAAAGAATTTTCTAATCAGATTTGTAAACAGTTTCCTGCAAAAATTGGGAAGAACACTGGAAAGTAGGAATTTGGTTAGTAAAGTGGGAAGACTGTATTTATAATTTGCATGTTACTTGCATCTTTTGTTTTTCATGAGTTGCAGTAATGGAATGGAAATGTATGCTGTAAAGATTCCCAAATATAAAGTATTTGTAACAGTGTACACAATTTCTCCTTTCTCTTAAAGGCTCCTTTTCTATTTCCCACTGACTTCATACCAGCTCATGAACAGATCATTATGTTCTCTCTAGAGGTGTAGAATGATTCAGGATGTTCAATATAGAGTTGTCAATGATAGTAGGGAGAATTTTTAAATGGACATTTCTTTCTGAATATATGATTGTTTGGTCTCTTAAGTTTTTGATGGTAAACACTGTCTTAAATTAATAATTACTAGAAGAGATTGACATTGTGAAAAAATGGCAGCAAATGAAGTTGAAAAAGTTATTATTTTTGACACTAATCAGACCACATGAACAGAAGTTGAGCAATTGCAAAATAAAACTAATATTTTTATTTACAAAAGAGGAAAAATTTAGGCATGTGCATATAATTCAGGCACATTAAGTTTCAATTCTATAATTTCTTACAACAAGAATATAGGTAGATAAAGAAATTTGGGGTTCAAACTTTTAATTCCTAGAAATTTTATATATAAGTCTCCTACAGGTTTTTAACTGTGGGTGTTACTCTTATAAAAATAGGGTTTTTTTCAGCATGTCTAAAAATTGCTAATATTAAACATAAGTATAAACTCTCCCTACTTCTATTCTCTCACATCCCTAGATCTATTGGCAAGGTATTCATCACTTAGCAGAAAATTTATTTTTCACTGAATGTAAACTCCTAAAACAAGTACTTTTTTCTCATTAGTTTTTGGGCTTGTCCTCCAGATTCACCTTTTAGTCCATGCTAGCTTTCCAATCTTTGAGTGCCTTCTTTTTCAATGCTCTGTTTCTCAGAAAACAGGATTTTTTAAAAATAGAGATGCCTGGAAAATTTTTGATTACTTTAAAATGGGATGTTTATACTTAGGGCTCAATTCTTCAATTGTTTGCCCTACTATTTTCCTTTTATACTTTAAGTTCCAATTCATATATATATATATATATATATATATAAGCATACATACATACGTATGTGTACATACATATTCATAAGCACATACTCTCATAAACATATACAAAAATATATGTGTAAGAACTGGGGTCAGAATTACCATAAATTAAATTGGGTTGGTTCATTATTTGCTTATCCTTAAGGTCATTTGATTCTGGTTTAAAAGATATGATAGAATTTATTCCATTTGCAATCCAGAGAGCCTTTCCATTTAGTACTATTTACTGAACAGAATCCTGTTTTTAGTCATACTATCAAGTTACTTTGGAAACTGCCTTATACTCAAAAAACTTGATATGCTTTTTAAAGTTGGATACTGAAATGGACTAACCAAAGAAATATTCTGACTGATAAAAGTTGTACCTTTGAAACCCTTTATAACTGTTTCCAAGAAGAGTTTGTATGTTGAAAGTCTTTAGGTTTCAAAGTCTTCCGATCCATACTATATGTAATCAGTGAGACTGCAAAGACTCTTACCTGCTTGCCTTTGTACATATGTATAGCTTGTTTGAATAATCACTGTACAACTCCATTAATATTGTTCTCTGTTTTGTATATATATTAAAAGTATTGAGCCAGGGGTTATTTCATAATGCTTGTCATCTTTAGAATTGACCACACACACACACATACACAGTCTGTGTCAAACTTTACTACTTATGTCTAAAAGAAACTATGAAAAAATTCTTTAATTTTATTTAGCCTGAATGAGGAATGAGGGTATACAAAGGCATTAATAAAAGTTAATGTCCCATAAGTTAATTTGAAAAGATATTTTAGGTCAAATTTTACATTTATGAAATAATTTTAATTTGTTTCCTTTTTTCCCGAGTTTTCCAACAGTGAAAAAATAGAAAAATTTTACCTTACAGTATTTTTTCCTGAAGACTGATGATTTCAAAGGAATTTGGACTAGAGAATAATATGGCAACAAATTTCTGTCTGTATTGTAAACTATATTTTCATTAGCAGGGCTTATAACCAGGAAATATTTATTTTATTAAAACGATTTAATTTTTTATATTTCCCTTACTTTATATATTTTTATGTATATATAAAATATACAGGGAACATAGTTTTAGTCTCTTTAATGTGTAAACGAAATTGTCTTCTGCTCTGAAGGTTTGTGCTTGTTTTATATTTCTTCTTCTTTATTCATCTGGTTTAAAACTTATTTTTAAAATACCATATTTTGAAATCATTACTCAAAAGCAAAGGTCTAGTTTTCTTTTTCTTTTTTTTTTAGGTCTAGTTTTCATAGGAATGTTAGCTACCTGGTTCTTACATACCATGAAATTTGCGCTAAATTTCCCTAAAATAAAGGTCTCTTGTTTACTTGATAATGTTTAACAGATGGATAGAGATAAGTTACAATGTTGTTTTATGTAAAGAGAAGAGTCATGGGATTGTGTGTTTAGAGTATGCACTATTGAAGAATAAGCTTCATTCACAGAAGAGCTGTTATTAATATCACAAAGCACTGGTAGTGTTTATCTACAAAATCTGTCCTATGAAGCAATGCTCTGAGAGTTTTCATTTAAATATTTTTTCTGTATCATAATAAAAGATTTCACTATTTTATCCCTTATGTATACAGTTTTATCACATTAGGGTTTTGTCACTAGATGTTTTAGGTTGGCTGCCATGTAGCAAAGCAATCAGCATCAAGTACTGAGAATAATTACCTTTGAAAACTAAGCTAAAATTCACATACATGATAAGGCTATAGAATATACTTTTAAAAAGTGAGTGGACTTAGAATAAATATATTAAACAAAAGTATACAGTAGATTAACAGCCACAAAGAAATTTTCTAATTGACACTTAAGAACACATGTTTTGCACTTGACACCATAAAGAAAATGTCTAGGAATATCTAGTTGTTCAGAATCCACCATGAAGCTGAAAAGAGAAAGACATTTTTTTTTGAGATAATGAAAACAACTTTCTGGACAAAGAAAATTCAAATTGTAAAGAGACACTCACCCCTACCTTTGCTCTGCATAATTTCCTTTAGCCAGAATTTCAAGACTATTTGAGACAAGATTGAGTTCTTCCTATGTGATTGTTTTGTGTGCCTTATCTTCTGACATGTTGCTGTAGTTCAAGATTTTTGTCATATATGAATAGTGCTTATCTTGGCAATGAGATTATAAACAACCTGATGATGAGATAATTTTGTTGTTTTAATCTGCCCAGTGCTGGCAGGAGTTAGGAAATATATATGTTACTCCTACCTAGATATTTCAGGAAGATTGGGTATAATCAGGTGGATGTATTGTGAATAATATATATATATATATATATATATATATATATTTTGGTACCGGGGATTGAACTCAGGTCCTTGTGCTTGCGCAGCAGGCGGCAAAACCACTGAGCTAAATTCCCGGCTCCATGAATAATATTTTTAGTATATCTGTATTTTAATATTGGAAATGTTTGCCCCAGTGAATATAAATATCTCAAAGACAAACCTAAGGCAGAAAAGTATGGGTGATGGGATTGATAAATGGACAAATGGAATGGAAAGGAATAAAAGTTGTTTACAAAGCAGCTTAAGTAACTTGCTGACAATAGGAACTTACTTTCTTGTCTGTCATTTTTTCTTATAAACACAGGCCTTTCTCTTATGTAAGGGAACATTCTACTACAAATGGAATTCTCAAAGTCTTGTCTGGATGGTTCATGATGGCTAATGGGCCTGAGCTGCTATATCCCAGTGTGATTCATTTGACTGATTTTTTAATTTGAGAATTCATAGGAATACATTTCAGTTTATATTTTTATATCTGGATGCAGTCTGGCTTAATTGCTTTATTTTTTGCAGATGTATCTTAGGTAAAACAATCTTTCTAGAAATCTTAATTTCTGAATTAAAAACCCTCTCATCCTGTGTTTCTAAAAGAAATAGCTGCTTTTTGTAAAGATTTTTCATTTTAGAATTAAATATTCTTTTGTTTTTCTTTTTAACCTTTACAGCCATATATATATAATACCATATAATAAAATGGTATTAGAAGTCATATGGGCTATTATAACCCATATACAGCATTTATATGCTTGCTTAAGATGTTCAGGGAGATGTGCCTATTGTACCTATAAAACTTGAATTTTCCCCAATAAATGTTAAACTTTTATTTGAGGTTTAAAAATTATGTTAGAAAGCAAGCCTAACTTTCCTTTTTGTTTTATCAAATCCTAGTGATCACTATTGAAATTATATGTGATATGAAAATTAATGCACAACAGAGCATCAGTTAAAGGGCATTAAATTATATTGAATTTCAGCTCAGAGAACAAGAATTGATCTAGTTTTATTTGTGCTCATTTTTTCTCCAAGTTGGGAAATGTTCTGAGGAAGTGAGAGGGAGGAATATAACGCAAGTACCGTGCACAGAAAGATAGTCTAAGATAAAAGAGAAGTAAGGATGGGCCAGAAAATTCTATGAGGTTATTTTACATTTGCAGTGTTTGTGCCACAGTTAACTCGGCCTTCCTTTTTATATTCTTTTTTTTTCACTCTGTTTTTGTTCAGGTGTTTTCTGACCTGGAACGACTGAAGGCATCAGTAGGAACAAACTTTGTTTATTCTTTCCACCTTGTTGAACCAGTGGTTTCAAAATTGGAGCTGAAAATGGATATGATGGAAGACACAAAAATTGCAAGTGTCAGAACTTGAAGATTTTTTTTTTTGGTACCAGTGATCAAACTCAGGGTCCTTGTACTTGTGAGGCAGGTGTGGAACCACTGAGCTAAATCCCCGGCCCTTCTTGAAGATTTTTATGAGTGAAGACCAGTGCATTTATGATGATATCAAAGTCCTTATTCATTTCTTAATTAAGGAAATATTTGTTTTGTGCTATACACTTTTGATTAGCTAGACACCAGTCTCATTTTCCTACATTCTGTGTGCACAGGCTGCAGTGGTTATATGTACAGAATTTATACTCTAGGCCTTTTCTCCCTATTTAGAACAGTGTTAGCTAAGTGAAAACTTTCGTGAATGAATGAACTGAAGGCAGTCTCTGATGTCTGTTCCTTAATAGCCTAAATAATAAATAAGACAGCTTTAAACATTTAAAAAAAAATAACCTGCTAACTACCGTCACCTGCACCTTTCCCTAAGCTATGGTACCTTCTATAAGCTGCGTGAGTCATTGTGAATCTGGAGAAATTTCCAGCCATATTCATTGTTTTCTTATTTGAGGATTAAATTTGAGCTATAAAGAAGAGAAATTCTACAAGTTTACCAGTCTCTGGGCCAGACAAACCTGTCTTTAAAAGCTAGGGTAAATATACAACTAGAGCTCAGGCTCAGATTTTAAGTCAGCCAACTTGAAAGCCTTACACTTGATTGTCCCCTTGTCTCGCTTTAACTTCAGAATTCACTTTCTCATCTGTTTGTTCTCCAATCCATCAAAATCTACTATAGTTTAAAATTCCTATCATTCTATTAAAACTGTTCTTTTCAGCAGCGATCTTGTCAAATCCAATTTTCATTATCATTTTTTTAGTGCCCCCATTGCATTTCACTCCTTCTTTGATTATCTACAATGATTCTCATTTAACCACTTAACAGTTTACTCCATGTGTCATTTGGGCAGGTATCATTTCAACCAGCCAATTTTTGTGTTGAGCTCTAACCCCAATTTTTGTATTGAATAAATTTGATAAAACTGTCATTTTTATATTATCTTATAAAATTAATGAAAAAATGCAAGTTTGGTCACCCTGTATTTAAATAATTGCATTAGTAAGCGGTTAATTAGTGGGCCTCAGTGCCTTAATAATAAAGAGGAGGCTTTTGTCCATCTACCAGCCTTTTACAGAGAGGGGTTTCCCTAGGCTTTCTCTTAGATATTTTGTTCTTACCCACACACTTTATTGTTAAGCCCAAGCTTCAACCATCATGTTGTTGTGGTTAACTCCTAAAAACTGCATCTGCAAGTAGAGTCCTAAACTCTCTGGCCCGCTCCTAGTTCCAGTGCTTTTCTCTCCTGGCCTTGCCTGGTTAATCTCTCTCCACTCCATAATGTTAGCCTTTGTCCCTCCTGTCAGTTACTACTAATTAGAGCATGTCATGGTTTGTCTCAAAAATCTTCAGTGGCTCCAGATTACTCTTCAAATACCACATAATGACATTCTCAACCTTAAAGTTGAGACCTCATCTGCATAAAAACTGTTAGATTAAGGAAGTAATCACTTCTTTAAGTCCATATTGTTTTTGAGTTTGTTTGTTTGTTTGTTTTTTTGGTACCAGGGATCAAACTCAGGTCCTTGCGCTTGTGAGGCAGGTGGCAGAACCACTGAGCTAAATCCCCAGCCCAGATAAGGTTAGATATACAATCTTTCTAGGTTTTTTTTTGTTTGTTTGTTTTGGTACTGGGGATTGAAGCACTTGTGAGGCAGGGGTCAGAACCACTGAGCTAAATCCCAGGCCCTAAGTCCATATTGTTTTGAATGGCAAGTACTATTTTATTCCCTGAGCTATTTTCTTTCTCTTGCAAACATTTATTTTGCAACTATTCCTTTCAAACTGGACAGATGGCACCTTATAGGTAGGGGTTGCAACTTTATTTTGTACCCTTTTAACTTGCACCACAATGGTTATTTAGAAGTGGAGCTCAAATAGGCTAAGCACATTACATTATTAAGCCTGGGGTCAAGTGCATTTTAATACTCTGGAAATATATGTATTTATTGGTAAATGGATGAATAGGTAGAAGAACAAAAGGATTTTGGTTCTCAGTTGTCTTAAATAAACTTTGGCCAGGCCAGGTTTCTTAGACAATTTTACTTCAAACCTCTCCATTCTGCTTTCCTCCAATTATAAATAATATTTTAACAGCTATTATAAGAAAAATATATCTAACATAATTGCAATCTACTTTATTTCAAATTGTATTCAATATACTAAATTTGATAAGATAAAGGATTTGAAAATGTTTTGAAATACTTCAGTTTGAATTGTACAACTTTGTTAAAATTTTTTAAATCACCAGCAAACCTCTAATGATATATTTAAGATAGCCAGGAATATAAACAGGGGCAACTAAGGACTAAGGGCAAAAGAATAAATATCTCATTTTTTTCCTTCCCAAACTTCATATTATTAGATATATAAAGAAACAAAGAGTATCATTGATAATGTTTATGGGGAAAGAACATACTATTTTTTAAAAACAACAGATAATACAGATAATATACAAACACACAGAAGTATTGTGAACCCAGAATAATTACCAGGAACTAGCATAGTAGATATGAGCTCTGGAGTTTCCAAGAAATCCACATTACTTCTTTGGAATGTCTTGCTATAATTCATCTGAAGGTGGCTGTATAAATGATTACAGGTTACGGTTATACTTTTTTATTTAAAGCCTGAGTACAGCAAAGATTAAATCAAGAAGGCAAGGTTTTGGTTGGTCTATACTAAGTGTCTGGATATGGACTTGTTTTAATGGTTATCTAGCTTTAAAAAAAGACTCAAGAATAACTTAATAATTGTCATCAGAAATTAAAAAAGTCCTAAGACAGTAATATTAATTTCTACACAGGGTAATACAATAGAAGGTAGACTTTAATTTCAGCAAAAAAGGTTAAAAAATAGGATAACCAAGAAAAGGGGCTGTAAATTTTCTTTTCCTTTAGAATAAAATGAAATAAAAATCATCCATCTTAAAATATAGGCCTAGAAGCATAGAGTTGAATAGGTATCTTTAAGGCTCTATTCTATGCTTGTAGTACAGTTGGGGTCATTTTGTCTTCATCTTTATACAAAATACCCCTTCTCACTTTTGGTGCTGGGAATCGAACTTGGGGATTGAATTTAGGGCTTCACGACAAGTGTTCTAGTATTGAGTTGTGCTCTTCGGGCCTTCCAGGTGCCTTTTTGAAGCCACAAAATGAAATTTTAAGGTAAAATGTGTATCAACTGAATTTCCAGGTTTCCTGTTACTCCCATTGTCATATTTAATACCCTAAAACAGACTTATTGGAGAACTATATTTTCTGTATCATTTAAAACCATCTGGAACTGTTTATATAATCTTAGAATAGCAAAAATGTCCTTCATCCTATTTTTAACATATATTTGTTATTTATTGGTAATCATTATTTTAAATTTCATAATTGACTTGCTTTTATTTTTGCCAAACAGTGTCCTGAATTTTGCCTTTATTGTGTAAAGACATTTAGAAAAGTTATGAGGATATTAGCCATTCTATGTGGTTTTATTCTAAATATAATAACCACTAAGCTTATACAGCTGTACACCCTCATCACTTTCAAGTTCCTTAGAAACCCAAGACCTGTATCTAATTCTACTTGTTTGAAAGCATGAATAAAATACTAAACCTCAAAGTGGATGGATACCCAAGGTATCTGTGCTTCAAGAGGGAAGTGATTTCTAATCCATGAAATAAATTCTCAAAAATTTGGGATTCAGAGTAATGGGTACATGTTTTGTGGTGAAGTAAGCAAAATGAAATGTTTCCTACAAGTCTGAAAATTTCATCATCTATATTGCCCTTTTCCTGGTTTCACAAAACAAATCAGCATTGCTGATAACTTACCTATTCCACACACTGCTGTTCTCCCAAAACTCATAAATTATGTAGCGAGATTCATTTGAAAGCTTCTGTACTGAAATACTGAAATGAAAAAGAAAAGGCCTGATTAGTCTCTGGAAATTAAAGAAGCAAACTAATTTTTCTAATCAACTCTACATGTGATGTGAAACTTATCAGTTCACATAGGAAGCAACGTAAGTTGCGGCAAAAAATCAAATAGGTTTTTCAGGATTGATTAGTTCAATATGTCTGTTTGGCAAAGAATTTTTTTTGTTTTGTTTTTTGGCTTAGCATCATGCAGACAGTCTCATTATATCCTAGATGTTACAAATACAACTTTTGTAAATTTTATTCATTTATTTGAAAAGATTTATTGAACATCTCATACCAGAGTTCATAAAAGTAAGAATCCATGGCACCTGCCCTTGTTCTCAGATATAACTCCATTGATTGGACCTATCAACCACTGCAGTTCTTGTCAAGTTTCTCCACTTGTGCAGGACAGCTTGGTGCTTTGCTCTATGCCTTCTGGGCCATGTTGATCATACTGCTGCTCTGTAAACTGACTCCCAGTTTGCTGGCACATAATGGTTCTCTTTCTCTTATACACGGACAAACTCACACTCATCTCACACAACTTTGGATCAAATTTGAGAGCTCAATTTCTGGCACTAATTGCTGTTTTAAAAAGTTGCTCTTCCAATTTGAGGAAGACAAGTTTGTCCCTTGTAGTTCACTGATTATCCTGAGCGAGGAAAGGAGACTGGCCAAAAATTCAAGCTGAGGTGAAGTCTAGATTTAATCCTATAGCAATGAGGAGCCCTTGGAGGATTTAAAACAGGGAAAGTACCATGGCTGGAGCTGTGTTTTAAAGGATCGTGCTGATGGCAGTGTGGGGTATGAGCAGAGAACAGTCACACATAGCAGACAGAAAAGGTAGACAGATAGTGAAGGAGCTTAGGTGAGAGATGAAGGTCCAAATCTATATTGAAGCAAAAGGGAAAAGGGGACACATTCATAAACTTATGGAAGATTGGGAGACAAAGATGCCTTAAAAACTTAATTCTGAAAGTACAGTTTTCCAGAATACATTCAGATTAAAGCACAAGAGGTTAGAAAAAACAGGATTTTGAGTTAATAGACAACAAAGATTTTACCATTAAAATACTGTAGTGGATTAATGTAGATTTGGGATTTACCTAAGTGTTACAGCAGGTGGCAGTAACCAAACACAGGAATTTTAGTATTTTTTTCTTTAGTCCTTTGCCTGTAGTTTAGTGTTTTTCATAGTTCTTTATCTAATTTGGTTCATTAAAGCATCATGTAGCAAATATTATTCAACTTTCACTTTTTCTTAGGATAAGAATTGACTACAAAGCGAACTTTGTGACAGTCTCATCCCAAGGAGTTCATGGATGAGCTTTTTGAAGGAGTCCTTAAAATCTCAGAAATGATCAGCCAATTAATGTGCATACATACTTTTTCCTGGGAAGAAAATCCATATCTCCCATTATGGCCTCAAATGGGTCTGTAATTTCCAAAGGTAATTAACAATGGAATGGAAAAATTTCATGTGTGGTTGTTTTAGGATAAAGTTTAAAATAGCCTAGCATTTCAAGCTCTTCATCAAGTGCTTCCCACAAACTAGTTCATTTATTTTACTTATTACATTAAATATCCATTGCTATGTAGCTGGACCTTTCATTTTCCTGACTAGCCAAAAGTATATAAGAAATTCACAAAATTTTGGCATAATATTCAAACTGTTAAGGATTAAAGAGAATATTATGGTCTTATATGGTGGTGGTTTAAAGACTGACACAACAGAACTCTCATTATTCACTACTCATTAGCTGTATTACCTTGTATCACCTTGGGCCAATTACTGAACTTTAGCTCCTCATCTGTGGAATGGTGATAATAGTTCAATGACAATTGGACAGGATTCTCCCTTCTTTTGGCTTCTGCCTTTCCCTGTGTATGTGCCTTGCTTTAACTCATGGGGCCTAACCAATGAAGAAAAGGCACAAAAGGAGGGACAGGCCTCACATTTTTCCACACCAAACTCTGACTACCATTTATTTTCTCTGTATAAATACTGATTTCTGACTACTGATTCAATGCACTCCCATTAGTTTTTTTTTTTAAATTGAGCCAATGTATACTATGTAGTTCAGGCTGGCCTTTAACTGACTATGTAGCCAAGGCTGGCCTCAAACTCATGGTGATCCTCCTGCCTCAGCCTCCTGAGTGCTAGGATCACAGCCTTGTGCCACTACACTCAGAAATTCTTAAGGAACCGTGAGGGTTATTTCCACACTTATGTTCCCTAGGCCCTTGACATGGAATTCTGAACACATTCAAATTCTAGAATTTCATAGCTGAGAGTGATTTCAGAAATCATTTTAATAGCTGTAAAATTTTAGGCCAAGATATTTAGCTTTTATAGTTTACTACCTTCATCAGCATCTTATCTCCACAGTTAGACTCTAAGATCCTTCAAAGTGAAAACCATTCTCTCTCATGTCAACACATTGTGTATACCACTTTTATTCAGTTAGCTCCTCCTCATGGCAAATGGATTAAGAAGATGATTAAAGAAATAAGTTTAAAAAGCAGCATCAGTCCGGAAAATATATACTAAGCATTTGGGGTAGCTATGGTCTGAATGTATGTGTCGTCCAAAATTCTTACACTGACGCCTAACACCCATGGTGATGGTATTAGAGGTGGACCATCTAAGGGAGAGCTCCTTAACAGACACCGAATCTGCTGGTGCCTTGATCTTGGACTTCTCAGTCTCCAAAACTGTAAACAATACATTTTTCATATTTATAAATTACTATAAATAATAAATTTCTGTTATTTGCAGAAAAAACCCAGCATAAAATATGACTCTGTGTGTGTGTGTGTGTGTGTGTGTGTGTGTATCATACATTGGTCCACATAAATGATTTAAGTTTTTCACTAACTTCAGTTAGTTCAGTTTTTCTTTCAAAAAACTCAACTGAATACTGTGGCCTTTGTCAATCTTCAAAATTCTGAGTCTCAGGTGGGCATGGTGGCACATACCTGTAATCCTAGTACTCTGGGAGGCTGAGACATGAGGGTCACAAGTTTGAGCCCAGTCTGGATAACTTTGCAACTTAGGGAAACCTGGTCTCAAATTTAAAAAATGAAAAATAAAAAAGTACTAAAAATATATATATATCAGTGCAAAGGCCCTGGGTTCAACTTCTCATACTGAAAAACAAATTCTAGTCAAATAACTTACAAGGTAAAAACTTCTATAATTTAGTGCCTACATTTAAGAAAGCAAGCCTGTCTTATAATTGGGGCAAGAATTTTGTTCATTCTACCCCTGTTTAACCACTGAAAGTCTAGGAATTTCTAATTCAAAGATGACTAAATATTGACAGGAAGGATTCAACATGAGTTTTGGAGTCAGATAAATGTAGGCAAGTTGTATAACCCACCCAAGCCTGTTTCCTTCTAAGCTGGACATAATTTATGCCTCTGATGGTTGCTGGGAAGACTAAGAAAGTGGATGCAAAATACCTGATTTTGTAAATCCTCAACAGTTACTATTTTATATTATGGCAGCATTCTGTGTCTAAACATGGTGATGGAAAGCTAACCATATGGGAGGAGAAACTTTGAAACTGAAAATTCCCAGAGCTTTATTCTATGAACAGAGTATGAAGTGATTGTTCTGGGTATGTCAAAGCAAACAGCATTTGATCATTCATCCACTTATTCAGGTAGAGAATTGCATTTGACTAATTGGTACATCTGAAAAATTGAACTTAGATGCACTGGCATATCATATGTTTCACATATATCCCATCTGTGTGTGGTGATTCTCTGACGCTCGTTCCATCTGATAAACTACATTCTAGTAATAGAAACTAGCTGAAGACTCAGCAATCAGAAGCGAATGAAGAACCATTAAGAAACAAACCAGTCTTGCAAAGAAAAGGAGAGGCTGAGAGAGTCTATTTATCTTACAGAAAAAGGATACTCTCCTTCCCTCCACTTCACAGCAGGAGCTGACCAAGCAATTTTTCATGGACACTGAGAGGACAGAGTTTGCAGCAGACAGCCCAAATCTCTCTACTCTCTTCTCCAACCACCTGTTCTCTTCTCCTTGGGGCTGTTCTAGTGGCTTCAGAGCATGTTCCCCATACACACTAGCACTGACCTTCTGAACCTTGAAAAACAAACTTTCGAATCCTTTTTATACATGTAAAACCTCTAATCAATCCCTGAAACAGATTATCTTCTTTATGTCCTCACTAACCAAAAACGAATTTACTGAGCTCTCCTTTCTGCAGTTTACACTGTGGGAGGTATAAATAAACTTCATTTGCATTTTTCCAACTATTTAATTTCATTTTTAAGTGAGTGGGCTTTAAAAAACTACATATATTCTTGCTCTGGTAAATCCCTCTTGATTTATTTAACTAAAAGAACTACAATGGGATTTTGATTTGCATCCTTCTGAGATGATGTGAAGTAGAACAAGGATAATGGCAGCACAGCAATTCCTGTGTTCCTGTCACGAAAGCACTATTAAGAATGTGCTATGAATGGTGCTGAGCAAATGCTCAAACTCTAGGGAAGAAGTCAACTAGGAAGCCATCGTATATACAGTAGTGGCCCTGGTTCATGTTTCATGCTCTTCATGAATGAGAAACATCCAGCCTCTTAGCTAGATTAGTGCACTGCTGCACTATGAGTAAAATACAATTAGTCACTGGAAAGAGCAAAGTGCTCAAAGACAAAGAATGTGTTTATATGCACGCATAGATACATATCAACACAAATGCACATCTATTAAAGAGCTTTCCCAAAGCAATTTGGAAAATCATTAGGGAATGCAGTTTAAACAACCTCAAAAGGTAAGGGCAGATTTGGTTGTGACATAGAATCCACTCTAGGAACGGGATGGACAGGCTTCTGTGCCTTTAGTTGTTGCTTATTAGAAGTGTTATTTATGATTTTTCTAAGGCAGGAACATAGAAGCAATTTTTTGCTAAAAACCATGATTCTTCACTTGTCCTCTAGATGCCCAATATATAATTAAAAGCAGAACAAATCTTGATCTTCATTTTGTATCCTGTGTTAGCTTAAAACTTTGAGTCAAATCCCTTCTCAGTTCTGTATTTAGATTAGTTAATCATTTATGAAGTGTCTGTTTAAAAGTTGGCAAAACAAGGGCCAAAAATTTAGCTTAGTGGTGCCATGCCTGCCTTGCAAGCTCAAAGTCCTGAGTTTGATCCCTGATAACAGGGTGGGGGGGGTGTCTAAAAGTTGGCAAAACAAAGTTGATTAGCACTGAAGTTATGTAATATTGTCCTTCTTGGAGACTTAGGTCTCCACGATAAGGGATTTATGGGAACATTTAGCTAACCTCAGAAGTCTCCAGCCATTGTTCTAATTTTGTGATCCTCTGGATTCCAGGAAAAGCAGAGCCCTACATGACTTTTGAAACCACCACAGAGACAACCATTTCATGGGAATAGAAGTACCTTTCAAGTCATGAAAACTCCAAAAGCTATGAAACCAGGACTGAGATAATCAAGTGGACCCTGGTCCACTTCAGCTAATCCCTAAAAGCTGCCTTCCCACGTTTGTGGGTGGGCCAGTCTGATGTCCTTCATCCAAGTGCCCCTTCTAGCTATTCAAGCTGGAGTCCTTTTCTAATTTTTCTTACTTTTTTATGTTAAGGGCTTGCCTGACTTTTCTCATCTCCTCAAGCTAAGGTAAGGGTATGATTTTACCTTACTTTTTTTTTTTTTTTTTTTTTAATACAGGATCTCACTATATAGCTCAGGCTGGCCTTGAACTCACAACAATCCTCCTTCAGCCTCTGGAAAGCTGGAATTTCATCTGTGCACCACCATGCCCAGGCTTACTTTCTAATTAAAGCTTTTTCCTGCAAATCTGTGCTTTAGTTTTAATTTCCATTTCTACTAAAACAAGGACCCATGCAGGCCAGTGACAGTTATGAAGTTTTTTCAATGCAAGTGAATTTAGGGTTGGGTTCTGGGTATTTCTCAGAGGGAGAGTTTCCAGGTCTAAAGCACAGTAAGAGTGAACAGATTATGCTGGATCGTCCACTGACAACTGTACATAATAAGGCAGAGTGTTTCGTTAAGGGGAACAAATAGTAGCAATGATATGGATTCCAGGATCTGCCGGCAGCATGAACATAGGGTCAGGGTAAACATCTAGCATTTGGTGAGATACTTATTAGAAAGTCACCACAGGCTCCTGGTTAAGGCAATTCTGCAGTTGTTTCTGGAAAGTTATTCTAGTAAATGTTTACTGGAATAGTTGGAGTGAAAAAACTTCACAAAAGGAATAGTATATTTCTGTAGCCTCAGATAATGGAAGCCTGAACTGAGTGGTGCCCACAGGACGAGGAAAGAGCTACTGCTGCTTTTATCAAATAAACAAGATCTGAAATTATGACTTCAGAGACCTCTGCATTTTCATAATGGGAGAGAGAGCATCAGGCCACAGGGCGTACTGCAATCAAGGCTGGATGTCCTGGAGTTGAGGGCTCATCTCATCTACAGACATGATATTAAATGAGTGCTGGCTGCTTGGATGCCAGAGGAGGAATTTCAATCTATCTGCAACTCTTATTCAAATTGTTCTCCATTTTCTTTTTCCTTGGGCCTCTAAAACACCTCAAGATCCCAGGACCAAACAGCAATCACTCAAATTCTGCAAAGGGCTTTGCCCCAGAGGGCTGCACTGCTCAGCATAATTTAACCTGAGGATTCTCAAATGCCTGTCTTCCCGACCCAACCTCATGTAAAGTGGGACCGGGCCAGGCACTCACCGCAAGCACCCACTTTGGGCGGAAGCACTCTCCACATAGTGCTTCAGAGCCAGCTGGAATTCTTCCAGGTCCTCTTCTATCACAGACATCTGACGCTGCACCAGCATGATGTGCTGTGGAAGAAAGGGCCAGGTGACTGCTTTAGCTGTCATGGAGCTTCATTAAAGTGACCTCATTGCCCATCCCGCCCCTCCTCACAAAGCAAATGACTGCCATCCAAAAATGTGACCAAGGAAGGCCATGACTGCTCCCAACACAAAATTATAGAAAGTCTGTAATATAGGTGGGATTGCCTCTAGTACAGAAGCTAAAAAAAAGTGTCCTTTGTGCATTTCCCTTTTAAAAGCAGTGATTCAATTAGAATGATTGGAAGGTTTTAAGATTACATTTATATCAGACTCTCTGGGAGTGGGGCCCAGCCACTGGTATTTTTAAACCCCGCTCTATCTGTCTCTAATATGCAACAAAGCTGAGATCACTGTCGTAGAGTCACTTTTGTACACTGCACAGCTTTAGCTTCTCGAATATTTTGTGATCTGAGATATATTATGACAATCATTACATAAAACCAAATTTCAAAAAATATGTGTTCACTGATGCATTTCAAATGGTGCATCAATGATTACAGGATTCTCAAATATATTACCCCTTTACAATAGACTCCATGCAAAACACCATGACATTAAGTGGAGTCCCTGTTTAATGGATCACACCGAGTTGGATGCTTCGTGTAACAAATCCTATTACTAGCAGAGCAATTGTGGGTTAAAGATTCCCCTACAGATCTCTCTGTGGGTTTCTCATGGAATCTTAGATCTCAACATTAGTCCTTTCCTTTTTTTTTAAGGATTGGGAGAAAAATTATAAAAGTGCAAATAAATGTAAGAATTGATGTCAGCCACAAAAGTGCAAAATCCAACAAATAACCAAGACTATAAAGAAAATGACTTTCACAAATTACCAGCCACATAGCCTTAGAGTTAGAATTAAACCCATAGTCTACTATTTCCTATGCCAATGAATTTCTCAGTTTATGTTAGCAGCTACTATTGACTGAACACCAATTATAATGTAGGTACTCAGTATATTTAACAAATGCTCCTACTTTGTGACAAGCAAATACTAGGTCCTGGATTCTGGGTATACAGTGATGGCTCAAGATAGAGTTTTTGTCTTCACAGGGCTTAGTAAAAGAAGAAACAAACCTACAGAACTATGTCTAAGAAATGACATTAGGTGTAGTCACTGGCACATGAAACTGACTATATGTACATTGACCAGATGGCTACCAAATTGTGGAGGGAAGTGTACCACCAAAGAAATTTTGATCCTAGTCTCTTTGATCCTTGACTATTTAGGCTATAAAATTATATTTAGACTAACAAATATATATGAGCAGGAAGCAGGCTATGAATATTTCAAGTCCTCTCACCACCCAAAGAGGGTAATATTCTTCCATGGGCTATTTCAGATGGTCATGGAGAGTAATGGATGAAGAAGAATCTTTCAAAAGAACAGTGGGCAGCAGAAATCTTTCTAGAATAGCGATCCAGGGTCCAATACCACAACTCCTTAATTGAAAATTACCTTCCAAGTATTAATCTGTTGTTTCAGTGAATGCTGTGCATTTCCTATTCACTCCTTTTCTGAATGAGATTTTTTTATGGCATTTATCCTGGCCCAGTTTTACCACTGTATATTATCTTTCTCTGTTTCTCTCTCTCCCTCTATCTCTCTGCCTCTATTTTTGTCTCCCTCCTCTCTTCTCTCTCTCTCTCTGACAGATCATTTACCTTATTCTTCACTAAGTTGTCAGACCTCAGAAGACTATATCCTTACCTTAGAGTCAAGACAGCTTTATCCAAAGATCTTAAATTTTAACTACAAGCAGTAACTGTAGGAAACTTTGGGTGGTCTCCCTTGTAGATGTATCTGTTCTATATGTATAAAGAAGGATGTGAATGAATACTTGAGGATTATAAGGTGGACTGTGCTGATTCTAAGCTGTTCATTTCTCTTCTTTCTAGGTACATTGTTAGACACTGTATTGCATTCTCCCTTGCAGTTAGGTTAATCAGCTGATGAGTTCTTCCCAACAGATACACATACTATGTGCCACTTTTGAACAAAGATTTAAGAAGAATGTGAGCCTCCTCCACATTCTTTTTTCCTTTTCTGTTGGCAGGATGAAGACCTGTTTTAGGGATGGGAGAGATAGAGATGAAATCACCATGGGTTCCTGAATCATTGTGTGGACTGTTAACTGGACAAGGAACAAACTTTTATTGTATTGGAACCATTCTTAATTTGGATCCATTTGTTCTCATAGTCTAGCCACCTGGATGAGTTCAACAATTTATTTGACCTTTTTTTAGTTCCTCTCAGGATCATGAATCAAGAATCAGAAGATTCAAGCTTATAATTGTCACCTGAGTTTCTATGGTGAACAATCAACCCTCTGTATGACTCTCCTAGGGATCTGTTTTTTATATTCATAACTAAGTAGAGTTAATGATAATCACTGCCAAAATAGTGGTGGACATGTCTTTTTCCTAGAAATCTGTAAGGATTTCTTCGTCAGGTATTTGTGATTAACAGCCATTCAGATGATTTTCGTGGGCTTCCTAGTGAGATATTTACATATATCCACCTATTCCACCATAATTATTTTAATCTGAGGGAAATTCTTATGTGACTCATCAGAATAGACTGTAAAAAAATGACAAGAATCCTCCACTGCTCTCTGAACCCATACACTGTGAAATATAACTGTCTGTTCCTTCCATTGAGATATGGATTTTCTTTCCCCTCCTGTGGATCTGGGTTGACCTTCTAATTTGCTTTGGCTGACAGTGTGGCAGAACTGACAGGTACCAGTTTCAAGTTAGGGTCCAGGAAGCTTATTAGTTTCTACTCTTTCTCTTGGATCCCCAACTTTGTCATATGAACAATCATTGCTAGAGCAGGAGTCAACAAACTTTCTTTGTAAATTGTTAATAAATATTTTACTTTATTTAAAATTAATATTTTTGTAAAGATAATACATGAACACGATTAAAAATTTAAAAGGAGTAAGTTTTACTCAGTGAAAATTGTGTTCCTTTCATTCCTATCCCAAAGCTATTCACTTGGTCTCCACAGAGGGATTGCTATTGTCAGTTGTCTTCTGAACCCCTATAGAGCTATCCTGTGCATAGAAATGTGTTTTGTTCTGGGCAGAACTCTTCCCACATTGTCTTCATTTGCTTTTTTTTCACCTAATAATATATCTTTGAAAGTGTTTCATAGAAGTACATGTAAAACTGCTTCATTCTTTTTTATTATTTGGTTTCAGGTTTCATGCATTTTAATGGCCACGAAGCTTTCCATTATGTAGATATACAGAAATGTATTTTATGTACACCCTGCCATTCATGCTTGTCCTATTTTTCTCTTACTCTAACTTTCACAATGTTGCAATAAATAACATTATTACTATGTCATTGGAATACATGTAAGGTACATTTTTAGAAATCAATAGTTAAGCCAAAGTGTGACTTTAGCTAACATCGTATTAAATGGGAAAAAGCTGAAAGCTTTCCCTCTAAAATCAAGAACAAGACAAGGATATTCTCTATCACTACTACTCTTCAATATAGTTCTTGAACTATTAAAAGGCAAGAGGAAGAAATAAAAGAGATACATATAGGAAAGAAAGAAGTCAAATTATCATTATTTGTAGATGACATGATCCTTTACATAAAAGACCCAAAAATTCTACCAAAATACTTAATACCAAATTCAGTAGTGGCAGGATACAAAATCAACACACAAAAACTAATAGCATAGGGCTGGGGGTTTAGCTCAGCAGTACAGTGCCTGCCTGACAAGTGCCAGGCCCTGAGTTCAATCCCTGGTACCAACCACCTCCCCTCCAAAAATTAACAGCATATTTGTACACCAATAATAAACTCACCAAGAAAGAAATTAGGGAAACAATACCTTTAACAATAGCATCAAGAAAAATTAAGTACCTAGGAATTAACCTAACCAAGTAAGTGAAAGATCTCTACAATAAAACTATAGTACTCTGAAAATCAAGATCAAAGAGGACATCAGAAAATAGTAGGTATCTCCTGTTCCTGGATAGGCAGAACATATACGGTCAAAATGGCCATACTTTCAAAACTGATGAACAGGTTTAACACAATCTCAATTAAATACAAATAGTGTTCCTCATAGAACTAGAGAAAACAAGCCTAAAATTCATAAGGAGCTAGAAAAGACCTAGAATAGCAAAAGCAATCCTGGGCAACTAGAGCTGGGCAGAAGGAATCAATTCTAGATTTCAAGTTATAAATTACAGCACAAAGCTATAGTGATAAAAACAGCAAAAACAAAAAACAAAACACCAAAGCAAACAAAAAACAGACACGTAATGGAAAAGAATAGAGGATTCAGAAAAAACTCCAAGCACATTCAGCTACCTGATCATTGACAAAGGGGCCAAAAACTTATGCTGCATGAAAGATAGCCTCTTTAACAAATAGGGCTGGGAAAACTGGCTATCCACATGCAGAGGATTGAATCTAGACCCGTATCTCTCACCACGTACTAAACTAAAATCAAAATGGAGCAAACATCTACATATTAAAAAGAAACATTTAATCTGCTGGAAGACAAAATAGGTAAAAGTCTTGAAGTCATAGGTGGAGGCAAAGACTTTCTGAACAGAAGCCCAATTGCACAAGAGGTAACATCAAGAATCAACAAAAGGGGTAATATCAAATTAAAAAGCTCCTATACAGCAAGGGAAACAACCAACAGAGTGAAAAGACAATATACAGAATGGAAAAAAAGACTTTCATCACCCATCTCAAACAGAAGACTAATGGGCCAGGGATTTAGCTCAGTGGTTCCATCACTTGCCTTGCAAGTGCAAGGACCCGAGTTCGATCCCTGGTACCAAAAAAAAAAAAAAAAAAATCAAACAGAAGACTAATATCTAGAATATAGGAAGAACTCAAAAAATGAGACCTCCCTCAAAGTAGAAGACCTATTAAAACATGTGCAACTGAAATGAACAGATACTTCTCAGAAGAAATACAAATGGCCAATAAATACATGAAAAAAT